TCTTTCCATGTATCCACAAATATTTTCACGAACCGATGGAACTCTTTCTTCCAAAAGCGGTCCTTGTATTTCTTGTAGCGTTCCTCCGGGCTGGAACTGGATGCCGTAGCCCATTCCCGGCCCCCGTCGAAAAGGTCACCCAGGAACAACACGGAATCTGGGCCTAGTTCTTTCTGAATGGACGAGAAGGATCTCCGAAGGTATTGATCGGTAAATTTGACGGTCAACGTCGAAAGGGGCCATGGTCGGCCGGGATATGTATGAGGATCGACTAATTGCGGGTCGGCGATGAAAGCGACATGATGTGGAATTGCGTCTTGGGGCTGTCTCGAGAATGACGAGTTAGCGGAAGAAGGAAAGGGACGGATTCCAACGTCGACCACCTACCCATCTCTCCCAATTACCCCAATTGCATGCTTTTACGCTGTCCTGAAAGACAGTCCGTTCGCCCCACCATAATGTACAGATCCATAAAGCAACCAAAGCGTTCGAGATGGTGAAGACATATCTAGCGACCTGCTTGAATAGCGACAATATCCCATGTCTAGTACTTGTCGCCTCACGTAGATCCGAAGCCCACCGTTTCGGCCATGGCGGCGGTGATTGATCCCGCTCCGATGAACCCGAGGACCACGCGGGAGACCCTGGGCGAGCAGGTCGATAAGAGTCGGCAATGGCGTTGTGCGAGTATGAATAGCTCATCTTCGTTGTTTCAGCCTATGGATGGTCGAGCGCAGCCCTGCTGCATTGCGGTACTGAGGCTGACACACGAGAGGTGGGCAGCTAGCAGTTGACCGAACCGGAGGTCATGCTTTGGGGAGTATCAACAATTGCAAGAGAACACAATAAACGAGCGACAGGTCAGCTAGAGATTAGATATAAGAATGAGGGAATGAGAGTCAGTGCATGACGATGTGGGAATGGATGGTCCAAGGGGGATCGCCGCCGATTGACGGATGGAGACACGTCACGTGCGCTGCGGCTGGGCGCAACGCTTCTGAGACATTTTGCCCTCGATTTGGCCCCAGGCCTCAATATTCAGGGTCTGAGAAACACTTGGCAGCAACAACTCCGCCACCACACTCCACTCAGGTCCATAATTCAGGGGAAGTACTACTTGGAAGCGAAGACGACGGATTCAGATCACATGCAATGTCATTGCTAAGAATACAAGAGGAGAATAAGAAAAAGTGTAGAGAATGCATTTACGCTTGTCAGTGACAAGTCTCATCACATGCAGCCATCTAGGAAGTCCACCCAACATGCACCAAGTTGACCTGAGATGCAATATCAAGAACGGCCAGTCCAAACACATAATAATGGGGTATGTTGAACAGAAAGGAAAATTAATATGTTGAGGTTGTAAGGAAGGTGTAAGAAGAAAAGATCATAGGACAGGGGGAGTTTTTATCGGATCACCTCACGGTGATTGCTTGGGGCAACACTGGCCACCCCGGGCACACTCCTCACCACATTCCAGGAGGCACGCCTGCGAGTCACCGTCAGGTACACTGGGTGTTCGACTGGGAAGAGTCCCCGAGGCGGAGGCTCCGTTGCTACCGCCACGGTAGTCCGAGGGGGCCATGATCGTATCCTCAGCGTCACTATCGGGCGCAAATTCAGGCTGGATCGTCGAAGAATGGATCCCATAAGCGTGCAAGCACTTCCTCACTTGCCTGGCCAGACGCATATAGCGCTCTGAGCCTTCACCCTTGATCTCCGTGTCCACCTGGATGTGAATAGAGGCGACTAGCTTGGTGTCGCTCAGCTGCCATACGTGCAGGTGGTGGGAGCCGATGACGCCCGGAAGCCCTTCGATGTCCTCCTTGATATGGTCGATGCTGAGGCCGTGGGGCGCTGCCTGCAAGAGAATACGCGATGCAGCCTTGCATAGGGGAATGGCGGAAAGCAGGATAATCACAGTGATAACAAGCGAAATCCCAGGATCCACGTAGAATCGCCAAGAATAATCGGTCAGCCAGATAATGAGCGCAGAAGCGATGACACCGATGTTACCCAGTGCATCGCCCATCACATGAAGGAAGACGCCCCGCATGTTGAGGTCATGGCCATGACCATGGCCATGCTTTTCGTCTTTGGGCTTTGGTTGAGCATGATTGTGGAATTTGTGGAGATCATCATCGGCAGCAGCAGTCCGGGACCGAGCAAGTGACCCCGTCTCATCGGTATATCTACCATTGCGACCGCCGTGGCTAAGGAGGGCCGAGCGCTCAGATGGCTGGCCGTCGGCGCCCTCTTGAAGATCGCTGTCCGAGCCAGACTGTTCATCATCATAACGGTTCTTACTGGCTGCGATAATCTCCTGTCTCATACTAGCGGGGTGGATCTGGATGTCTTCCACGTCAACATATCCACTGTAGCGACTATCGACTGTCCGGCGGCGACGCGAATAGGGAGAGTGTGGCTCGGCACCACCAGTCTGCTTGGTCCACTTGTGTCAGCTAAATAGACCTGGTAGAGATGAGTCCACTAACGTTGTTCTGGCCATCTGCGTGTACATGGTCATGATCGTGGTCATGGCCCGCAGCATGTACATGGTCATCAGCGCCTTCTTCCAGATCTCCAGGGCCATGACTGTGGCCGTGCCCGTGGGAGTGGTCATGGAATAGAACAAGACCAATTGTGTTCGACAGCAAGCCGAGGCATCCAACGATGCAAACGAATTTCGGGTTCTTCACTTCCTGAGGTTCGACTAGTCGTTGTATAGCTTCCAGGAAAATCGATAGACACAGAGCGACCAGGAAGACACCATTAACTAGAGCACCCAGAGTTTCTGCGCGTTGCCACTAAAGAACCAACCGTCAGGATGAGAGGTAGACCTGTAGGATCGAGACAAGCTTACCCCGTAGGTGTACATTTTTGAGTTGGTTTCGCGGTTGGCGACCTTGACAGCCCAGAGGCCCACACATAGTGACAGTACATCATTCAGCTGTGCCAATACTGGTCAGAATCATGCTATCCAAAGTGTATTTCGGTAAGACGACGAGATAAGGCGTACCATGTGAAACGAGTCGGCAACCAGGGCAAGGGAGTGCACGGAATAACCTGCGCGAAGAAATCTGGTTAAGAGACGCCCGGGAGCATATAATGGCATGGACACGAACCAGCAATCAATTCCAACAAGAAGAAAGCCGTATCAATCGCCAACAGGATCAAGATCCTGTTTGTCTTGGAGAGACCCATGATGGTTGAGGCCTTGCGCTCAGTGGCGCGAAAATGAAGGAGAAAAGGGACGGATGACGGCAGACTTCCAATCTAAGCGTGGTTGTAGTCGTTCATATGCCGGAGTCCGCCAAACAGTACACCAAGGAAGACCTAGGAGGGGAACGCGACTAAGCGGGAGAAGAGGAGGGGGAGAGAAGAGGATAGGAAAGAAGACCAGGCGATAAATAAGTCATGGAGGAAATGAGGGAGAAAGAAAGAGTGACGCGGATTTCCTTGGAGAGACAAAAGTGGAGAGAAATGACAAGAGTCCGGCGGAAGGCCGACCGGAACGAAAGTGGCGTTAGTTGCTTAGTTGCTGCTCCGGCCTCAGGCGCCCATCCGGCCTCGGCGGGGTTTAGCGGCCAGCCTTATCATCATTCCGTCTCCACTACTCCCTGCCTACTGCCTACTATTCTCGTCTCTTGTCTACTCTCATGCTGAGTTCCTACTCAAGAGACACATTCACCGTTGGATACGTCACCTTGAGATCTGCCTGGCCAGAACTGCAAGGAAATATCCTGCTGTCACATTCAAAACCTGTCTTGTCTGCCACATGCACTACCCAAACTTGGTGCTTGCAGCTGCCGACATCGTCGAGGTACAAAGGTACGTGGTACCCACTCCACAGTGATTTATTTCTCCACCCTCTCCTGAACTGCTTTTATACATAATCGGTACGCCGCTACGATCTCCCGTGACTCCTTAAAGTGATCGTCCTGATTTTGCTAGGATATGCATTTCTTTTTCTTCTGTCTCGTATCAACTTGCCGCGCCAGTTCATTCTCTGATGACCTATACAGCAGCGTCTTTGTTGTGTGTGCGACATCATGACTCGGAAGAAAGAAAATTTTGGCACTAAGCCCAAAGACTAATGCGGCGGCTAGTACGCCATGGGCGACCGTCAGTGCGCTAGCCATGCAACTATATTCTATTTTGGCGAGCAGCCGACCGGCTAGACAAGGATTCATTTTACGAAATGAAGTGGGTTTTAGGGTCTGTTTGAGATGCCTACAGAGTGCCCATTGGGTCCTGACCACTCATGAAGTCCTGGGACAAATCTTGTATCTGGACGGTCTTTGGAAGGGCTGACTGCGATATGCATCTTGACGAATCAGCATGACGAGGGTCCAAGTAAGCCAAAAGTAACGTTTCGGATAACGGAGCAGATCTAAATCGCTCAATGTCCCGGAGATTATGGCCTGCGCACTATACATGACTGGATCCACTGTCGCCAATTTCACCAAAGAAGCTCCTTCGCTTTGAATTTTGTTTCACACTTAGATCGGATACATTTCGAACTGTCTCAACCGAAGATACCGGAATCACTCCCGATATTTCCGGCTTAGAGTGATAGGTACATTTTATTCCCTTCATTTGGTATTTAGTGGTATCTAGGTCAAGACCTGACGCACCTACCATGTCAAGCGCATTTGACAGTGACCCGAGACCCGTATAGCGGAGCATTTCAATCCTGCAGGGTATCAAGCGAAAGTCACTACTTTGCACAACGTATCAATTCTTTCAAACCGGTTAGCTATGACTGTTTGCTTGACAATGCCTGACTATGGCAACATGATCCATAGATCCTAGACCCACCTGGCGAATGGTGTTCTCTCGCCAACTGCCTGGAGCGATCGTTGTACACCAACCGGTCTAGCACTCCGTTGCAATAGTATGCCAGCAAGACTTCAAAGAGCGTAAAATTTACCAGTCGAACCCATGGGACAGTGCTATATACAACGAGTTAGCAAAATACGGACATCCAACGTCAACCTCTACGCCGTATACGCCGGCGGCGGCGACATCTCCCTCTCTCCCTCTTCGTCCGAACCCTCCTCCTCCAACCAGTACTTCATACCCTTACTATCCAACTTCTTCTCATCAACAGGAATCTGTACCTTTTGCATACCAACAGTCAGCCAGATACTCCAAATCAGAATACAATAAGAAGAGAAGATGAGAACAGAAAACTTACCCCCTGACCCCCCTTCTTCAACACCACCACCTCCTCCCCCTCCCTAACCCTTCCCACCAACACCCCATCCTTCCAAACCCCATTCCTAACCACCATCCCCTCCAGATCCGTCCTCACCAGCACACAATACAACACATCACAATTCACCAATTTGCACCGCTGCACCCGACACTCATCCGAAATCATGCACCTGGACACATTACTCCGCCAGAGAGAGCTCCCGCCCAACAAACTAACATCTTTCACCTTGCTGCGCTTGACAGAGGCGCGATCGCGGAGAATTGCGTTGGAGAGGGTGCTCCGGTGCGAATAGGTGTAGATGTCGAAGGAGGTATGCGTGGCTTCGGTGCGGGAAACAATGGCGTTAGTGAGGGTGGTGTGTTTTAGCTTGGAGCGGTAAGTGGATGAGTGCTTGACGATGCAGGATGTTAGGGCGGAGCGGAGGAGGCTGGTGGGGGTTTTGGCACTGCCGGAGCAGGTGATGGTTACGTCGCGGAGGTCGCTGCGGGTGATGGTGTCGGAAGGGGTGAGATCGGTAAAAGTACTGTTGATGAAGGTGGAGCGGGTGATGGTGGGGAGGGTGGATGTTGATATTGAGATCATTGTTGGGGGTTGGATAGGGTAGGTTAGTGTTCATTCATACAGAGTAACTAGTAGACGGGGGGGAAGATAAGGTTAGATTGATAAAGTAAGGAGGCGAATATGTTGTTGCCTATTGGGACTCTGATGGCATATAAGATGCTTAGCTATTGTCTATATGATGACGATGGATGCCTGGAAAGGGTTACATGGATCCTAGTTACTTTGATTTAGGCCGCGAGATTTCCACATCTAAGAACTTCGAAGGCACGCAGATACCCTACGCAGGGCTGAGCTGCAGGGGGCCGTGAGCTGAAGGTCACTTGTTTCCGCCCGGGTTTCATGAGGTCATTGATTGTTCCAACGGAGAGGCTAAGGTTGGTCATCAAGCCATAGAACGCGTCAAAGAAAGACCCTCGCAAAATATTAACTGCCTTTTAGACGTTTCATAGGATCGCGATCTGCAAAACGTTCATGTTGCCCCGTTGTTAGAAGGATCGAAGCTATAGATCGGAAACCATGAAGATCGTTAGTGGTTAGATTGATGGCTCATATAGCATGTAATCACGTTCACAGTATTGAAGAGTCATTCGTGGTAATATCAATAAGTAAAAAGAACCATGCTATCACGGATACTATCACAAGATTTATGCCATGGATAAGTCCCCACAAAGGATTGTTACCCCAACCTAAAGAGTTGGAAGCCTGAAATAAAAGCAGATTTCTGTGCCGAATATGATCTTGTACATGGCGTATATGCATACGTGAGTGAGACATGCCTGTCGGGGCTAGGCGGGCCTATCTTGTTTTCTTTCATTTCTCCCTGTGGCGCAAATGCTAGCATAGAATATCTGGGCTGGATAAGTTGTGGTAGATTCCTAGCATGTCAGTCTCAGTTATGAGAGGGCGCTTTCTCAGCATTGGTGGTTCTGAGGCTCCTGGGTGGATTAACCGCGAATTAGGATGTCTTTCACAAAATATAGATAATATATGGCAAAGGACTTATATCTTGAAATACCTGATCAAGCGTGCGTTGAATAAAGAACTGCGATGTCAAGGTAGGCATCTCAAAGGACTGTACGCATCGTTGGGACGAGAAAGACCATAGCGCGAAACCCTCAGCTGTGCCACCGCGACCGGCTGTGAGGGTGGCGGACGAGGGAAATAATATGCCGCGGATTCTATTGGGTGGCATGGCGGTTTGTTGAGAAACCAAGAATGAAGCAATGATACACCTGCAGAAGGATGTAAGGTTGTCCGCTTCTAAAGTCAAAATCTAGATCTTGGAAGCTGCTGGAACCGTAGGGGATGAGAATAGGTGTTAGAAGAATCCTTGGCCGCTTGCCCAGGGATTTTGGCATGGCTTGGCTATGAAGTCGGTGTAGTTCGCCCGTAAAGCAGGGTGTGGTTATTCTGTTCCGTGCATTCGCGTTCTTCAATCTCTATTGATAGACCGAACGCTGGCTGTCATGGACCCAACTCTACCAGAATAATGTGGATGATCACCATCCACGCGAGTCATGTTGTACAAGAGCGACAGATAGCGACTTTTCTTGTAGAGAAAGCAGTCCAGACCCATTTTCTCGAAGCAAGGGTACGGTGAGCACGATCAGTTGAACAGGCCCCTTGCTTCACCTTGTAGAGATGCGACAGTTCTTAAGGACCGATGCCAATTTCACAAGGTTAAAAGCTCGGACTATTAAACTGTCAAATATAGGGCTCGACAAAGTTTGTTAGGCTTTGAAAGCCCTATATCATGAAAATGACAGCGGATTTGGATCGAAAAGGTACCATCGTGAGCCTCGAAAGCATCCAAGATGGCGAAATCGGCATTCTCGATTTGGACGGCGGTGCCACCCCTGAAATTAACGGGGATGGAATGCCGCGCCAGTTCAATTGGCTTTCAACTCTTGGAATTTCTTTCTCAATCACGAACTCCTGGGCAGGATACATGGTAAGCATCTATGCCAGAGCGTCAGAGACAACTTCTGATGCGTCCATCGTATGCAGAGCAACTTTGGCCAGATCCTGGCTTATGGCGGTCCTCGATTAGTAATATTTGGATCTATCTGCGCTTTTGTCGTTCAGATCATTGTAATTCTCGGGCTCAGTGAGCTGGCATCGGCCTTTCCGGTACGCTCTCTGCAACTGCATCCTTGAGCTTTGTTTTGATCGCATGGCTCACAGGACTAGTCAAGCGGAGGTCAGTATTATTTTTGCTACATGCTCAGTCCGACCAAGTTGAAAAGATTCTCAGCGTTCGTGGTCGGATGTATGTCTGTCTTAGCATGGTGGATAGTGACGTGGGTTGCACCGCCCCAGATCTGTCGATCGACAAGGCCCTGATGATCGTTGCAGATCTTCCGGTGTCCAGATGGTTACGGCCTCCCTTGCGGGTATAGTCAAATTTTGGCACAGAGAATATACACCCGCGCAGTGGCATATATACCTGATATATATTGCTATATCTCTGCTCACATGTGAGAATCATCGTCCAAATTGGCAACTCAGAGTAGCTGATCCACTAGTGACACCGATATTCTTGGCTCCGAGTAAAGTCAACTGGACGGTTCAGACGGCCCTCTTTCTATCTCTTACGGGCATGACCCTCATTATCACTATCTCACTTGGTATGTGCCAGGAAAAACAACCAGTGTCATTCCTGCTGCAAAGAGGGTATGGAACATCTGGCTGGAACGAAGGTACTGCGTGGATGCTGGGCATAATGAATACGATGTATTCTATGACAGGAATTGATGCTGGTATGTCTGTATCAGTGAGCTTCACTACTCCCTGTCGCGTACTGACCGACCGATGATGCCCAGCTATCCACATTAGCGAAGAGCTCCCTCAACCAGAGAAGCGTGTCCCTCAGGCCATGACCATGAGTGTTATTCTGAGTCTCGCTACCTGTCTTCCATTGTCGGTTGCACTGATGTTTTGCATGTCCGATATGGAAGCGGTTATCAATTCGGAACTGCCAAGCTTGGAAGTGATGTATCAGGCGTATGTATTACCGAGTCGACTTTTATGTCAAACTAGTCCTAACTGCTATATTCAGCACAAAGAGCAAAGGCGTTACTACCTTCCTCTCATTGTGGCTCTTGGTTGTCTATGCTGGTAAGTCCGGGAGACACGTTTGCACGCGCCATTCGAGCTAACTGCCAAGCTATAGCCTCAATCCCGTCTCAATGGGTGACGTGCGGCAGAGTAGCATGGGCTTTAGCTCGCGATGTAAGCGTCTGTATGACACGCCGATGACTCCAACCTGACAAGACTAGATTGACTCCCCGTCAGCAAGATACTTTGCTAAAGTCGACGACAAGCTGAAGTTCCCTGTTCGCACCACAGTTGCTAGCTTTGGCTTTGTTGCTATCTATAGTCTGTTATACTTGGTTTCCTCGGGCGCTTTCAACACGATCACCAATAGTGCGATACTCTTCCTCCACATAACTTACGTGGTGCCTCAGGGCATATTTTTGATGAAAGGCAGAGCGGGCGCACTACCATTTCGATACTTGAAGCTTGGCTGCCTCGGCTATCTTTGCAATGCCTTCGTCATTTTGTGGATTGTTATACTTGGAGTGTTTGTCTGCCTGCCTCTTGGGTTACCGGTAGAAGCCGAGTCGATGAATTATACGGCTCCCGTGCTAATTGGTCTATTTGGCCTTGTGATCCTGTTGTGGTATGGACTAGGAAGGGTAGCATTTCAGGGACCCCAGATTGACAGGGACATGATGCAGGAGGTAAATTCTGGTCTCAAGTGAATGGGCTTGGCCGAGCTGTTGGCTCGCAACGGAGGCGGCAGTCGGTCAGCCATTGCTTCTAGACTTGGAGACTTGTGAAACCTCAACGAGGCGAGATTGCAGTGAGAACCTTGCTCAATTTGGCTGCGCCACTTGACACGTGGATGAAAAGTACAGACTCCGCGAATGAAATTCGATTCTCGATAGACCGTGAGCGGAATACCGGATATTGCTTCGAGTGTGTACAACAGTGCTAAGAGAGACTTTGTCAGTCGGAGTGTCTCCTGAGTACAGACCCTGTCATTTTATAACATTGAACGGGTGCAATGTAACTCTGGCATTCACTTTAGGGAGGTGGCATTGATGTTGCCTGCGTCAGAGTGGCATCAACCGCTCAGCTGCTATAATGATCAGTCGGGAAGCTTCAGCCCCCTTCCCCTCCCCTTCCCCTCCCATTACTCTTCTGTGGGACTTCATTTCGTCCAGCATCCCAATCCCTCCTTCTTCCCCTGCAGGAATTAACCGCTTCATTAAAAACTTTGCTAAGTCTCACGATTTTTTTTATGAAGAAGTAAGCCGCATCCTCCTGACAACTTTCCACATCCCACCGTGGACTGACATCTCTCTAGCCAAGGATCATTCCCAGCCATGGATGCCCACCTTGGTCTCACCCTCCCTTCGACCTGCCCGGAACTTCAGCAAGGCAGCGATGCCAACTGGGATGATGCTTCTTTTGCTCTCTATTCCATGATCGAATTGTCTTCCGAAGAGCTGGATAGGCTGATCACCGCCCTGAACCGGGACTGGAAGCGGGAGATTACCGACGAAGCGATGCCTCTTGTTCGCACCCATACCGTGTAAGACTTCAGTGGGAAAAGCGTCCGAGACGTCGTCCAGGCTCACGTTAAATTGGACAAGGAATTCACTCCGCGGGATGATGGCGGTGCCGAAGGCGACATTCATTGGTACCCCACAGCTTTTGTTGTTGTCACCACTCGCGAGTGGGAAGAGAAAGGACTCTTGTTGGTGTATGTGGATGTCGACGGGAAAGAATGCCCCATGGACAAATTTTTCTTTCACATCGACAACGCTAATATTATATTGTCAAGCTTGAATTTCGGTGATGAGAGCCCCTCTTCCAGCAGATTCAACTGGGAAATGGGGCATGGAGTGAACGCCGGCATGGATGAATAGCTTAGATGTTGTGCTACAAAGTTACTCTCTCTTTTTTTTCCATCTTCATGTTCATCTCGTACAATATTGAAGCGTGTGACGTGA